CCATTTAATGCTGTCCTGCTCGAAGCCCACAATTTGGAAGTTCCTTGATTGCCTTAAAGCAGAACAAGCCCTTACAGACGAGAAGAAAACCAAAAGAGACGGGCGGGAACTACCTGAGCCACGTGCACCCAAATGGATCCGTTATGATCGACAACTTCAGAGAATTGTAGATGATTACGACAACTACAGCAACCCTATGGATTTCCTTAAAGCTATCGGAAATTTGACTATGCTTTAGATTTGATTCTGTGATATTGTATTATATTGAATTAATTTATAACATTTAAATAACATTGAAACTATTGTCCAATTTATCGACATCAAATTAAAATAAACTGTGGTAGTAAACTATGGCTCAGATCATATCTCAAATTGGACATGTTACGTATACAATTTAGCAAGTAACAGTTTAGATCATGTCTCTAATTGGAAATGTGTCGTATTGAAATCAGGTCACAATTTCGGACAGATGTCGTTTTTTTCTGGTACCCTGATTCGGACAGATGTCGCTGTCGGACAGATGTCGCTGTCGGACAGGAGTCGTGTTACCAAGAATACTAATTATCACAGCAACATTGATAAGATTAAAGTTCAAATTTGTTAATTTTTTACCGGTCATAATTTATTAACTCAGTTTAACACTTACAGAGTAAAAAGCAAAAGTTATGCGGTCAGTAGCAGTACCACTGGCGCTCTGAAAATAGGCCTCAAACGGAACCGTTGGGTCGTAAACTGAATAATTGAAAAAGATATAGCCTTTCATTCATCAATAATTCCCCAAAACTTCATTCGTCACTATCTAAGAAGCACAACGTTCAGAGTTGCGCTTTGATATTGCAACGAAGACCGGAGAAAAGTGGAACTGCACGAAGATTGTAATCTCTTCGCTAGAGTATACTTATAGATGGAAGCCCAGTATAGACGCGGGGGAGTGATCTGTTATGACACTCTTTCTCCTCTCTACGTTTTAATATCATTGAAAATGAGCTACATATCATTAGAGCGACCAGCGAACAATGTCATTCAATCTGGATACGTGATCATTACATGAGTCTACGTCTGAATTCCATTGTGCTGCACCTCAAACATCGCATCGTTCAGCAACTGCAAGGTGCACGGCAGGTCAATAAGCGTATTTCATAATAATATTCTGGTGAAAGTTTCAGTTCACGAAGACTGCATGGGGAGACGAATATAGTTTTCATTACAATACCCTGTTTAAATGTCGAATGTGTGCCTCTTGATTAATATAACAGAAAAGGATAGGCCAGGAATTTTTGAAACGGAAATTATATGAAATGTGATATTTAAAAATATGATTATGAAGTCACGTGAGTTAACTTGTAACTCGATAACGTATATGGTATAGAAGCAGATAATCAAACAACAGCGAGTGTGATAACTGATAACAGATAACTGAAATTGATACTACTGATAGTGATAGGGTCAGGGATATTACGATACAAGTATCGTGTGTGCTGTAACATCGAGCTATATCCAATATAATAGATCAGTAGTGGACGTTACCGTAAAATTACAAAATTTGAAACCCTGAATCTCAACCAAAATGAAGAATTTCGTGTGCAGAAATCTAAGATCTCATCATAAGCCTAAGTGATAACTGCAAGATCCGTGTTGACAGATGTTACTCCTCTAAATTTCTTCGAAGTAGCGCGCGCCGGGCCAGACCATTAACAATGGTCAAGATCCGTGGAATCGCTTTAGCTAAAAACGGAAGTTACAATTAGGGGCCATCTACTTAGGACGTCCGGCAAATAGGAAGGGGGTGGATAGGTTTTGGAATTTCGGACAAATCCGGACAGGGGGAGGGCGGGTATTATTCTCCTACTGCTTTAAGTTTAAAACTTATTCGATTGGATGGCTACTTATACTTAAGTATTTAAATGTAAATGTGCTAAACTTAAGTTCGATACTAAATGTATTAGTAATACTATTACTGTCTATTTTATAATTGTCCATTGTTAATGGACTCCGACTAGCCCGGCGCGCGCTCGCACTACTTCGTAGTTCACGGGTGATACTCGTAAAATATTTGTCTCAAATATTAGACCGTCGACGAGTCCAGAGTCCAACTCGACGCGCGTATTGCCATTTCTTGTTTGTCGAATATCTTTATGCTTTAGTTGTGAACATCGTAAAAGATTGCGGATCAATCGAGTGTGTTCATATTATCAGGAAGAAAAACTTTTGTACGAACAATTTTTACGTCAGATAATAAGTTAATTGGATAATTATCAATTAGCTATTTAGCATTAAATTCTAAAAAAATTTTATTGGCTCAAAATGATCGGAATAGCTTAAAACACGGAGAAAAGAAGTTTTTAGAAAAACTTTGAAAATTTTTCATTTGGATTTTTTTTTCGAGACTTTCAAAAAAATTTCGAAAATTCAAAATATTTTTTTCCGCCAAAAGTGATCAAATTGCATGAAACGCGGAGTCAAATGCATTTTTCAAAAAAACTTAGTGAATTTTTCGTTTCAAGAATACTTAAATCGCCAATATTTGTAGTTGGAGTTCAGTAAATCTCGGCAGATTTTAGTAATCAGGAATTACTAAGTTGTAAGTGAAGAGGTCTGAAACTGAAAAACGTTAACCATACTCATAGGCATACGATCGCGCGGCGATATAAGAGTTTCATAACTAATTATAATACAGCCCTATCGATTTTACAGAAACTGCACCAATGGCACAGTCAAGATCGAAACGATAGCCTGCTGTACTGTCATTTTATTGATTTCATTTTTCAATGATGAATCAGTGGGGTTAAGATATTCACATTTGTAATAAATAAGACATCTCTATACCGTCAATTGTGATAATCTAAACCGGCCTACCTGTATTACCAGACCTATTCTTTTCCTTTTACAATCAAACCAAGTTGTTCATATCGCATTTTCAATGCTCTACGATGTTCACAACTAAAGATATTCGACAAACAAGAAAGGTGGTAAAAAGTGGTAAAATAGCAAAAAGTGGCCTTAAGACAAGTGGAAAAGTTTGGAAAAGTTGGTCAGCCATAAAGGGCACCTAATGGGACTCAAAAACGTCAAAAATCCTCTGAAAGCTTTGAGTGTCAGCAGATCGATTTTTTCAGACGGATTTGTCTGTACTAACTGTTGTCCTGAATTAAGCGATCTCAGCCAAACCTACTCTAAGTACTCTAAATCGGGAAGACTGTCGTCGTGCATATTTTAAAACCGTATAGCACGTGCACCCCATTCTGAACTCAAGCTAAAGTGGCATGCTTGTGTGTGATGGGCGCTTCATTTTAAGCCACCTTTAAACTGAAGCCTTAATTCCGGCTCCGGACAATTAACAGTTTATATGGTCCCTAATCGCTATAATTTAGAAACTGTACAGTAATTATGTAGTTCAATTATATCTCAGTACAGCCGGTAGTACAATTAAACTAACTTGGCACGACTGACGACATGGCAAATAAAACACATTATTTTGAAACTAAAAAAGGCTGAAGTATAACTACAGAGCCTTTCATTTGGAAGTGGACTAAATTCTAAAATTGATAGGTTAAGACTATTTGATTACAATTTTTTTCTCTGTAAGGTTGGAAGGAGCAGGTTTTCTGTCATAATATTAAACCAACATTATGTGATATGATCTCAAATTCTCAAACAAAACAAGATTAAATAAATAAAAACAAGCCAAGAAAAGAGATTACAATTACATGAGACCTGGCCCTCTGGGGCCATTATAAGTATAATTATCAAACTAAAAATTCTAAACAAGTTTAAGGGGGGGGGGGGGGGGGGGGGGGTCACCCTGATTTTTTTGTGAAACTTGGTTTCGAGATAGTAGTTGACCGACAAACTAGGACCGGTGACCAAACTTTTGAGGGGATCCCGGACCCGAACTGCCAAACGGTGCCCGCGGGGCAGCCACGCTCATATTTGGTTCAAATTAGGCCCAATTTAGCCAAATACCCTGAACATGCCAAAAATCCAGATTTTAGGTGCTCACTGCTCTATTCATGTTGATGTAGCTAGTAGTCCCCTAAACTCGTATATGAATTTTTATCAAGATTGGACCAAAAATGACTGAGTTATGAGCAAAAACCATATGACCATATTTGGGCATACGCACCAAATTTGATAGATTTTGGCCCATAAATTGGTCAAATATCAATATTTTTGAATGAAACCAACTTTATATGGAAGGTAAGCCTATACCTACTACACATTATATATGATTATCAGCTCAGTATCTACCTAACTGTGGATTCTGTGTTCAATTAATCGCAAAAGATGAACAAAATTGCCCATATCTCAGTTCGCGATATTTGCAAAACTGATTTCGCTCAAAACAATAGAACTCAATAGGGTTTCATTTCAATATTTTTACATGAAATTTTCAGAATCAACGTAGAATCGCATTTCGACCTTAAGTTTTGGGACAGAATTTTGAGTTAGGCCTTTAAAAAAAATTTGGTGGCATTGCAAAATTCAGAATTTGGCCGCCAAATTTTTAAAAAGGCCTAACTCAAAATTCTGTCCCAAAACTTAAGGTCGATACTGAGCTGATCATCTTAGATAATGTGTAGCATAGGCTTACCTTCCATATAAAGTTGGTTTCATTCAAAAATATTGATATTTGACCAATTTATGGGCCAAAATCTATCAAATTTGGTGCGTATGCCCAAATATGGTCATATGGTTTTTGCTCATAACTCAGTCATTTTTTGTCCAATCTTGATAAAAATTCATATACGAGTCCAAGGGACTACTAGCTACAAGTAGAGCACCTAAAATTTGGTTTCTGGGCATGTTCAGAGTATTTGGCTAAATTGGGCCTAATTTGGACCAAATATGGGCGTGGCTGCCCCGCGGGCACCGTTTGGCGGTTGGGGTCCGGGACCTCCTCAAAAGTTCGGTCACCGGTCCTAGTTTGTTGGTCAACTGCTATCTTGAAACCAAGTTTCACAAAAAAATCAGGGTGAACCCCCCCCCCCCCCCCCTTAACACATTCCCACTTCCCAGACACAAGTCACCTGTTACCATATTACAACAAATATCTCATCCTCACCCCACGGCCCCTAGAAAGAGGAGCTATCTGACAATGTTGAAGGAGAGAAGTCGTGAGCAGCCACTACCTCCATACCATCCCTCCTAGCTTGTTCTGCCAGGTAGCTCGTACACACATCATCGTCACTCTGAAGAAGGAACACGTGCGTGTGAAACGTGCAGTAATTAGCGTTCACTGAACGGTTTAGCGTGTTTAAGCTGTTTAATAGTTGGGAAATAATATGGGAGTTAAACACGGTGAGCACGTGAATATATTTGATATTGAGAAGCTATAAAAATTCCTTCACAAAAATATTATAAACTTCACAGTCTCTTGTGGTCAAATCGTTAATGGAAAAAAAGTTACGAATGGAATCTAATTTGTATCGCCATAATCATGATAATGAAAACACGAAATCTTTGGAATAAGGGATCGTTCACATATTATTATTACGTAATCACAGAGGAGATGGGAGGGGGGTTTCAAAATGATTACGCTAGAGTGATTTTACACAATAGCTAATGCTTTGTGTAAAGCTGATTACGAACTACGAAGGGGGGGGGGGGGGGGGGGGAGTAGAGGGGGTTAAAAATTGGCCAAAAAATGATTACCTTAGTTGGTTTAATTATGGCGGGTTAAATTTGGCGGTTTTCGGAAATTTCACCATATTTTTACTTTTACCCGCCTTAAAAATATTTATACGAACTAAGGTACGTAATATGTGAACGGTCCCTAACTAACCTCTAGGTTAGTTACGGACCGTTCACCCCTGACGAATAGATTCAGTTAAATTATTAGAAAAAATGATTTTTTAAAAACTTGTTAATTCCGGCGTACCTTACAATCTTCAGGGTTATCTTTATACCGTTGAGAAAAGTGTGTCAGGACCAGAGACTGTGCACGAATCTTTTTACAGAAGTCCGCAGCCATACCTGAAATTAAGTGAATAGATTATCACATCCTGCACATAATTATTCTTCCCTGCAAGTGCAAAGTTTTACTTAATTATAATATTTAAGTTATACCTAATCATATTACCCCGATAACACTGGCGAAGTCAAACAGATAAAGTGGTTATCTAAACAGGAAAATACAGTGCCGAGGAAGACCCTAGCTGGACAGTAGGTAACGCGTTTAATGTGCGGCAGCTGAGTGCGTGACGTATTTAAACCCCCTCCTTGTCCTTCTCAACATCAGTTCCCAAACACAAGCATTCTAGCTTGAGAAGGTTTGGAGACGGAGTACACTTTATTTGGTAGTGCAGTAGTCTTCACTTTTCCCGTTTTATAATTACCGTATATATTTTATTTATTTATACGCGCATGTGCTTTGCTTGGCGCGCATGTGTATAAGTAGTCACAAATGCGCGCCAAGCAAAACATGGACTGTCAAGTATTTAGCATACAAAAACATCCTCGCGCATTTCGCATAAATAGCGATTTGGTGCTCTTTTGCCACTGTCGTCATGCGTTGCCAATAGAGAAATTCTAATTTTGTGGCATCCCACTCAAAAGAGATTACACTGGTGGCCCACGAACAAAAACATTGTTCTACAAACATCTAGCAAAATAAACGTACAAACAAACATAAGATAGATACATTATTATAATACAATATTATAATTCATTATATGCATAATGCACTGGTAAACACGGTAAATTAACAAAGAAGTAATCTTACTAGGAGTGGAGTGACCACACTCAATAGCTTTATCCACCAGTTCATCCTGGTGGGTAGCCTCGTGTACCACAACATCAGGATCACGTGCTATGTGTTCTATCTTACTGTTGTCACACGTGTCTCCCAGTATCACTGAAATATTGCTGATAAGTGGGCAGTGAGTGAAACTTGAGTTTTTGTAATTTTTGTGTCGGATAGCTTTTAGGAATGGAGATTGTTCTCCAGTATGATCAGTATCAGACGCAAAATAGTGGTCATCTTCTCTCGTTATGATTACACTCAGTTCGTTATATAAAGACGGTTAACTTTTGCGAAGGCTTCAGCGTCTTAAATTTTGATTGTAGGACTGAATCCCTACCGGACGGAATCACTACCACCCAAATATCACTACTGGTAGTGATTTAGTCCGGTAGAGATTCAGTCCGAAAATATACCTCAATCCCTACCAGATGATCTTAGTTCACTAGTTCTAATATCATGACGTGATCTGAGCCGGGGCTCTCATGGAGTGCTTGCTATGGGGCCTGGCAGACATGTGATCCACAGACTTACGTACGCAACGAGGAGCCCTAACGAGAACTGGTTCGGATCAAGTCATCCATAATGACCTGCTATACGACAATACAGTGATGTGAACCTTCACATGCTCGGTATCTCAATCAGCTAGCGGGAATAATATATAAACCTGCAACGCCTGTGTTTATCTTATACCACTATGTCTTCCTCATCCATCGAGTTTATTCCTGGCAGAAAGAAAGGCAGCCGCAACGTCCTCTACGATGGTCACCTCTACCACCTTAACAGAAAGAGGGAAGACAAGACCTACTGGAAGTGCAACAAGTGCAAGTCCCGCCTGATCCTTGTCCAGGACACCTTCTGTTCTGCTACCCCTCATGATCACGAATCTCAACCAGCAGAAATTGCAGCCCACCGCTCCAAGTCTAAAATGAAGACCCTCGCAGCTACTACTGAGAACTAATAATTAACTAATGAAATACGAATAATTATGCCTTTATTGCAAAGTTCAGTAGGGATCACATCAAAGTGGTTAGGTCTAGATATTAGCGGTAGTGATTTAGTCCGGTAGTGATTCAGTCCGAAAGTATACCTCAATCCCTACCAATAGTGATTGGTAGTGATTCAGTCCGTTAGGGATTCAGTCATGTAGTGATTCGGTCCGTTCACCTAAATTTTGAACATTTTAAAAGCTTTACCTTCTTTAATTCATCACAACTTGTCTTTAAATTTGCTGGTACAAGTAATATAAGTCAGTGTGTAAAATGTGCTTTATCAGTGCTTTACTCAGTGTGACACTGAGTGCCACACTGAGTGTCACACTGAGTGCCAAACTGAGTGTCACACTGAGTGTCACACTGAGTGTCACACTGAGTGTCACACTGAGTGTCACACTGAGTGTCACACTGAGTGTCACAATGAAACAAGTTTCAGAGTTTGTGAAATTGGTCAGTGTGCAAAGTGAGTTTTTGCAAGGAAAGAGAGGGAGAGAGCCGCTTGGCTGCTTGCTAAAAACAATAAGTTAATTTGTTCACACCAATAAAGATGAGTTGTGTGTGTGCAGAACTAATTGAATTCTTCATGCCACCTTGTAAGTGCATAATGCATATGTTCCTAATCTCCACGCTTCTTGCACACTCAATCTGATAACGGTCAACAAAACAGTAAACTTTTCCAATTCGTGGAGAAAAAAGAGGGAGATGGAAAGAGAGTTGCTTAGAAAGGGAGTGACTACAATAATATCTCAGCTAAAACTGACCTATTTTGCGGCCCCGTTTGTTCTGTCCCAGTACCATATTAGGTGTGATCAGGTGTCCAGAGGGTCCTGTGATTGAGTGACCTGACTTTAGTTTACCGTACATTGGGCCAGGGGGGACTCCTAACTCCTTCAGTAGCACTGTGTTCAGACTGCAGGGAGGGGCATCTTTAACATTGATCTTATTGAGCAAGATTATTTCTGTTTAATTGAACGGAAACAGACGGAAGACAGTTGATTATTTAAACTAATTATAAATATGAATTAATATACCCTCGTTTACACTAAAAACTCTCCTGAATCGGCTTCATCCTGGAGCGAGATTATTCTGATTAAAACTGGCTATAACTGAGGTACTGTAAGTAATTACTTAATTAGTAAGATAGCGGTATAGCAAGTAAGGCACTGTAAGTGATAAGTAAGATAGCTGTATAGCAAGTAAGGCACTGTAAGTAATTAGTAAGATAGCTGTATAGCAAGTAAGGCACTGTAAGTAATTAGTAAGATAGCGGTATAGCAAGTAAGGCACTGTAAGTAATTAGTAAGATAGCGGTATAGCAAGTAAGGCACTGTAAGTAATAAGTAAGATAGCGGTATAGCAAGTAAGGCACTGTAAGTAATTAGTAGGATAGCGGTATAGCAAGTAATGCACTGTAAGTAATTAGTAAGATAGCGGTATAGCAAGTAAGGCACTGTAAGTAATTAGTAAGATAGCGGTATAGTAAGTAAGGCACTGTAAGTAATTAGTAAAATAGCGGTATAGTAAGTAAGGCACTGTAAGTAATTAGTAAAATAGCGGTATAGTAAGTAAGGCACTGTAAGTAATTAGTAAGATAGCGGTATAGTAAGTAAGGTACTGTAAGTAATTAGTAAGATAGCGGTATAGCAAGTAAGGCACTGTAAGTAATTAGTAGGATAGCGGTATAGCAAGTAAGGCACTGTAAGTAATTAGTAAGATAGCGGTATAGCAAGTAAGGCACTGTAAGTAATTAGTAAAATAGCGGTATAGTAAGTAAGGCACTGTAAGTAATAAGTAAGATAGCGGTATAGCAAGTAAGGCACTGTAAGTAATAAGTAAGATAGCGGTATAGCAAGTAAGGTACTGTAAGTAATTAGTAAGATAGCGGTATAGCAAGTAAGGTACTGTAAGTAATTAGTAAGATAGCGGTATAGCAAGTAAGGCACTGTAAGTAATTAGTAAGATAGCGGTATAGCAAGTAAGGTACTGTAAGTAATTAGTAAGATAGCGGTATAGTAAGTAAGGCACTGTAAGTAATAAGTAAGATAGCGGTATAGCAAGTAAGGTACTGTAAGTAATTAGTAAGATAGCGGTATAGCAAGTAAGGCACTGTAAGTAATTAGTAAGATAGCGGTATAGCAAGTAAGGTACTGTAAGTAATAAGTAAGATAGCGGTATAGCAAGTAAGGCACTGTAAGTAATTAGTAAGATAGCAGTATAGTAAGTAAGGTTAGGGGTGGGCACCGATAGCAATATTTTTGGGTGATGTCATGAATTTTTAAACGGCCCTGTTTTTTGGGTAAAGGGACCTCCAAAATGAAAAAATAACTTGGTTTGGGGTCAAAAAAGCCCAAAATAAATATTTCCCGCTCCGTTTTCGGTTAGCGGGAGGGTCATTTTTGACGTTTTTGACTAAAATTGGCTTTATTCAATTCATTTTCACCTTTTACACCTCATTGTTTCCCATGATTGTGAATCATTATTGACAAACCAGGTAGGGTGAATGATTTCAGCCATCTAAAAATTTTCTGAAGATCCCCAGGGTGCCCGTATCCATGGAAACGGGTCGTTTTGAAAAAAAATTAAGCGAAATCAGCCAAAATGTTTGTTTTTACCCCTTTTTGCCACTCTAAGACTTTTAACATGGCCAAAAGTATCCAGAAAGACCATTATTGTACATTGTAACTTGTATATCAACTATAATAGGTATAAAAACATGATGTTAGGTGTTTTAGTGGTATTTTTGGGCCTTAGCAACGCCTAGCAACGGGGCGTTTTAGGCATTTTAGAGGTTAATACATGTCATTTTAATATCTTACACTCTATTGTTACTAATGAATGTTGATTATTATTAACATACCAGGTAGGGTTGATGATTTCAAGCTTCCAGAGCTCATCTGGAGGCATATTGGGTGCCCGTAACCATGAAAACTCGTCTTTTTTACGAAAAATTGAGATTTCAGTGAAAATTAGGGTTTTTTATAACTTTATGAATTATGATCCATAAATATTATACTAGTTATCCTTTATAAACCCTATGACAGTTGTGTATTGGGAGATAAAATGGTAACTAATGTCTAACACTTCAGGGAGATAAGTTTTCCCACTATTTAGGCCCCTAGCAACCCATAGCAACGACGATTTACATGCAAAAAAGGCATAAAATACCACTATTTGACCCAAAACTGCTGAAAATTGACCTGGGTCATGGTAACAACGGTTTAAAACAGTAAAGTGACTACAATTAAACTATTGATGTTAGGGTTCCTCACTATGTAGGCCCCTAGCAACCCATAGCAACACCTAGTTACGTGAGTATTGGTCGTACCTTCAATACCGATTGTCTGTAAGGTATGAGTGCCTTTCCTAACTTGCCAAATCCTGGCAAATCCAGTAACGTGTAGATCCTTTAACAGAACTCATGAAAGTTATGGTTGCAATTGAACTATTGATGTTAGGGTTCCTCACTATGTAGGGCATAGGCCCATAGCAACCAATAGCAACACCTAGTTACGTGACACGAGTAAAAACTAGAATGTCAAATTTTCAACAATTGTTCAATTTTATGTTACAATTAAATATCAAATAAACTATTTTAGAACGTGACTTTAATTGCTTTCAATCGAAATTTAAAATTAAAAGTCTTAACTTTTGACCATTTTTGAACATCGTCATGGTTAACAAAATCAAATATGACAAAATGGACCGTATTCATTTGTGAGACCTCCAGTCTTGGTCGTACCTTCAATACTGATTGTCTCTGTAAGGTCTGGGTGCCTTTCCTAGCTGGCCAAATCCTGGCAAATCCAGTAACGTGTAGATCCTTTAACATAACTCATGAAAGTTATGGTTGCAGAATCCCCATTCAGACTGAGGACCTCCCCTGGGTAAGACGTATCCTCAAACAGCCCTATTACACAGTTGTTCTTCTTACATGGCAAACTCTCATCAGTATTACCAAACTGAACTTGATCTGGACTACCATGACCAATAGAATGGGGCTGTAAGGGTTCTCACTGCTCTTTAACAACTCTGGGGCTTTTCTGATACCGGTTTAGCTAGTTAATTGTTTAAACAAGATCTTGTAGAACGTGTGAAGCTTTACATTTTGTAATAACTTCCACCACCTTGGTTTCTTCACACAGCAAGTCAGCTTCTGCTGGAACACACTCTTGAGTGACTGCTTCTGTTCCCCTTCAAATTTGAATGTCTTAAAATGTAACTTACAAACATCGACCTCGTAAGGATGGTCTTCTGATCGAATTGATACAGCCAGTATGACTGGAGGAAAGGAGGGCACGAACGAAAATCAAGCGATGTCAAATCCTTTGAGTAAGTTAATAGGTCATGATATAGGCCAGGAAGGATATGAAGTAGACGATCTGGAGGCTGCTATCATTGGCTATCAGGGTAAAAGTATTGCCCCAGTAAGTGTAGAGGATCTCCCAGTTACCAAGTCAAGCCCCAGAGTTGTTGAAGAGCAGTTAGAACCCTTACAGCCCCATTCTATTGGTCATTGTTATCCAGATCAAGTTCAGTTTGGTGATACTGATGAGAGTTTGCCATGTAAGAAGAACAACTGTGTAATAGGGCTGTTTGAGGATACGTCTTACCCAGGGGAGGTCCTCAGTGTGAATGGGGATTCTGCAACCATAACTTTCATGAGTTATGTTAAAGGATCTACACGTTACTGGATTTGCCAGGATTTGGCAAGTTAGGAAAGGCACTCATACCTTACAGACAATCGGTATTGATATGAAGGTACGACCAAGACTCACGTAACTAGGTGTTGCTATGGGTTGCTAGGGGCCTACATAGTGAGGAACCCTAACATCAATAGTTTAATTGTAGTCACTTTACTGTTTTAAACCGTTGTTACCATGACCCAGGTCAATTTTCAGCAGTTTTGGGTCAAATAGTGGTATTTTATGCCTTTTTTGCATGTAAATCGTCGTTGCTATGGGTTGCTAGGGGCCTAAATAGTGGGAAAACTTATCTCCCTGAAGTGTTAGACATTAGTTACCATTTTATCTCCCAATACACAACTGTCATAGGGTTTATAAAGGATAACTAGTATAATATTTATGGATAAAGTTATAAAAAACCCTAATTTTCACTGAAATCTCAATTTTTCGTAAAAAAGACGAGTTTCCATGGTTACGGGCACCCAATATGCCTCCAGATGAGCTCTGGAAGCTTAAAATCATCAACCCTACCTGGTATGTTAATAATAATCAACATTCATTAGTAACAATAGAGTGTAAGATATTAAAATGACATGTATTAACCTCTAAAATGCCTAAAACGCCCCGTTGCTAGGCGTTGCTAAGGCCCAAAAATACCACTAAAACACCTAACATCATGTTTTTATACCTATTATTGTTGATATACAAGTTACAATGTACAATAATGGTCTTTCTGGATACTTTTGGCCATGTTAAAAGTCTTAGAGTGGCAAAAAGGGGTAAAAACAAACATTTTGGCTGATTTCGCTTAATTTTTTTTCAAAACGACCCGTTTCCATGGATACGGGCACCCTGGGGATCTTCAGAAAATTTTTAGATGGTTGAAATCATTTACCCTACCTGGTTTGTCAATAATGATTCACAATCATGGGTAACAATGAGGTGTAAAAGGTGAAAATGAATTAAATAAAGCCAATTTTAGTCAAAAACGTCAAAAATGACCCTCCCGCTAACCGAAAACGGGGCGGGAAATATTTATTTTGGGCTTTTTTGACCCCAAACCAAGTTATTTTTTCATTTTGGAGGTCCCTTTACCCAAAAAACAGGGCCGTTTAAAAATTTGGAAAATTTGCATTTTCGTGCCCACCCCTAGTAAGGTACTGACCTGCCCACTGAAGGAGCTTCTGTTATCACAAAACCAACACAAGGAAGTCTGTGGGACAATATTCCTGCCTCAACTTTATACTTAGGAGTCTCAAACCTGCGTTAATATAACATGCTTTTAGATTTAAACATAATTCAATATTATATATAATTCTGTATATCTATCTATATAATTACAAGTCTGGCATTATCATCGTTTAATTTTCTAACATTTATTTATAACTAAACTATCTAGTCGTGACTAAAGTGACACCATTTAAATCTCTGTACTTGACTACTTGCTGCCTTGTTTGTGATTGAGGGCCGCGCAATAAACAACTCATAATATGTACAGTAAACCCCCGCCCAACAAACTGTAATCTACAATAACCCACAGCGAGAATGCATTGTTCCTCAGGTTGATAACACGGCCTGGAGTCTCGTTCACATGTTTTATATTTGTATCCTCTGTTGGATCATATCCCGTGTTCTCGATATCTATCTCGTGTACCGTGTACGGTCTTGTGAACTCCGTACCTAAGGAGTTTGTTTTTACCACGTGACATTTCGTGTTATAACACGTGGTACATAACACGTGGTTCATAAAACGTGGTAAATAACACGTGGTTCATAACACGTGGTACATAACACGTGACACATAACACGTGGTACATAACTCGTGGTCATAGCACGTGATTTCCCCTAATATTTGCACTTTCTAAACTCCACCAAAGTTTGGATGCACATCTGTCAGTAAGATTCAGCTATTATATATATATTATATATACATAATTCGAACAATTGAAACAAATCAAATTGGCGGGCAAACGATCCGTTTCATGATATGTATAAAAACAATACCAATCATCAGTGCCAAATAGAATAATGAATTGTAGCGCTATGACATGTTGCTCCTTTATAAAATAATTTTTATCGATCATGAAACATTTTCAAAATTATCAAAATTTACAAAATTTCCAAAAAAACAGTTTATTGTGTCCGTCCCAATTTTAAAATTGTCTATGAAGTAAGGTAGTAAGATATCTTTGGCTCCGTATTTGAGAGTTAATTGTTGATTCTGGTTATCAAACGAGAGTGCTCAACAACGACGAGTCGAAGGAGCATAACTAATAAATAGTTGTTGTTTGGTTTCCCAAAGAGAGTGCTCGACTGCAGTTAAGCAGGAGCATTATAATTCGAACAATTGAAACAAATCAAATTGGCGGGCAAACGATCCGTTTCATGATATGTAACTGCAGTCGAGCACTCTCTTTGGGAAACCAAACAACAACTATTTATTAGTTATGCTCCTTCGACTCGTCGTTGTTGAGCACTCTCGTTTGATAACCAGAATCAACAATTAACTCTCAAATACGGATCCTAATTCTACCAGCTTCACGGAACTCAGTAAAGAATTTTCCTCTACCACTACACGAAGGCCAACACAGTTTACAACTTTAAAAGCCAAAGATATCTTACTACCTTACTTCATAGACAATTTTAAAATTGGGACGGACACAATAAACTGTTTTTTTGGAAATTTTGTAAATTTTGATAATTTTGAAAATGTTTCATGATCGATAAAAATTATTTTATAAAGGAGCAACATGTCATAGCGCTACAATTCATTATTCTATTTGGCACTGATGATTGGTATTGTTTTTATACATATCATGAAACGGATCGTTTGCCCGCCAATTTGATTTGTTTCAATTGTTCGAATTATAATGCTCCTGCTTAACTGCAGTCGAGCACTCTCTTTGGGAAACCAAACAACAACTATTTATTAGTTATGCTCCTTCGACTCGTCGTTGTTGAGCACTCTCGTTTGATAACCAGAATCAACAATTAACTCTCAAATACGGATCCTAATTCTACCAGCTTCACGGAACTCAGTAAAGAATTTTCCTCTACCACTACACGAAGGCCAACACAGTTTACAACTTTAAAAGCCAAAGATATCTGACTACCTTACTTCATAGACAATTTTAAAATTGGGACGGACACAATAAACTGTTTTTTTGGAAATTTTGTAAATTTTGATAATTTTGAAAATGTTTCATGATCGATAAAAATTATTTTATAAAGGAGCAACATGTCATAGCGCTACAATTCATTATTCTATTTGGCACTGATGATTGGTATTGTTTTTATACATATCATGAAACGGATCGTTTGCCCGCCAATTTGATTTGTTTCAATTGTTCGAATTATAATGCTCCTGCTTAACTGCAGTCGAGCACTCTCTTTGGGAAACCAAACAACAACTATTTATATATTATATATACATGTATATTATCCAATTTATAATTCGCTAAATTATCCAGCTTATTGAGAAACCTGATAGAATAAGACTGGTGCGTATGTAGCGAGCTAACCCAACAGGACCGTACAAGTGAAGTGGTTCAGGTGCTGTAGCTGACCCTGTTACTGTGCCTGCAAACAAGTGTAACAGCTACGTGATTAAAAGCATTATAGAAATTAGAACATATTTTGAAGGCATGATTACAGTCTTACCGGCCTGATTGGTTGGAAAATAACAAATCATTCTAAAAATGCGGATATCTGACCTTGTATGAGACACATGAGACCAGGTAGCCCAAACAGGTGATCCCCGTGAAGATGTGTAATGAAGATACGGGTCAGTTTGCCAGGTTTAACATTACTTCTCTGGTATTGGATCTGTGTACCCTCACCACAGTCAAACATCCAGCATTCTCCGTCTGGTGAGAGAGTTGTGAAAACGAGGGTGGGAGAAAGTGAAATATGAAGTGGAACAAGAAGAGAAATAGAAAGTGAAATATAAGATACCAGTAATCTAGTAATTTTACTAAAATATAAGCGTCTAACCTAGCCTGAGAATAGTAGAAGAAGCGCCTCTACTCGGAGAAGGGTAACAGGAACCAGTTCCAAGGAACACCAGATCTATAGTAGCCACCATCCTGACACTGTTAACCCTGCCTGCTCTCACACCACGTGCTGTAACACGTGCTATACCACGTGTTACCCTGGTTACACCACGTAGTAAGACACACGGCAGGTTTAACTAGTTATCTGACATCCTGTTCGAGTATGTTGGAGTAAGAAGTGACTGTGTTATAGATATCCGTTTTTAAGGATTCCTCGCCGGTTTATCGGAGAATCGCCGTCGTAATTTTCAACTTTGGAAATAGTAAAAAGATCATTGCGCAACAAGTATCCCCCTCCCTAACTTCCAAACCACTTCAACCTTCTCCCATCCCCAAAACCTTCGTCCAAACAATCTCAATTACTTTAATATGAAGGGTGAACTTAACAGCTAACATCAGGTATCTCTTACACTTCGCACTATCCTGGTAGCTCTTTCTCTTAGTGGCATCCTAATGCTACGTTCTCAATGTAGTTCACGTTGTCTTGGATTAACAGAGAGACTCCAGGGAGATAATGCTGATTGAGCTGTAATATCACGTATACGTATAATACAACACATGTTGTACAGCACGTGGTTCAGCACGTGTTACAGCACGTGGTAAATAAGTGACCACGGAGTACTGTATGTTGTTACATGCAATCTGCTGATTAAAAAAGTCAGAAGTAACTGCTTGATAGCATATAGCGGTCTAGAAGATCATTTTTAGATTATTGTTATGTGTAGGCAAGAATAAAGCAATCTATAATATTGATTTCGTGATAGCAAAATAAACATGCAAAATGCAGTGACACAAGTACCGTGACATTTAACATAGATCTACAGATAAATACGATGATATGTTAGTCTTTAAATACAATATTAGGTATATCAAGGAAATATATTTGGGTCAGAAGGGAAAGACATGATAATGTCACCACTTTTTAAATGTTCACTTCTAATATCTTACTATATACTGTATAAAGCGAGACGATATATATCTGTGCCATTTTACTGACACCACGGCATCAACTTTAACGCGACTTTCCACAAAAACCGTTAAAGATATACAACCGAAACTTTTTTGACTGGCTCAAATGTTTTAATGGCCTCCGAATCAGCATGAAAAAATAAAAAATTGGCCAAGGAATAATGATTTTAGAGCCCAAAATTTGGACCCCAATTAAATAGGTAATAATTATTTTAGTCTCTTGAGTCTTGACACCGTTTAGGGTTATATTATACGGGTTCCTGCTAGTCGAAATAATCAACATAATATAAGGAATTAATGATTGGTCTATTTAGTTACAAATACGAATAGCTGGCTAAAAAACATTAAAGCAAGTTAATATTAAAATGGACGTATTTATATTGTGATGTAGTTATAATGTGTGCTAAAAGCATAAATTACTACAAGATTATTTATAAGATTATTTACTTATATTGATGGAATGAATGATTTGAACCACAATATAAATTTATTTGATATCCTATTGAGGCACAAGCCACCCCATCGCGGGTTTTTTACTTCCTACTGCTAGAAAATTATCTAAAATGTAAATGATAATTACAGAAAGCAAATAGAAGTTTGCTTATAATGTACAATATTCGAAGGTGCTAAAAGACCGTAAAATTTAGCTATCAGACGTAAGTGAGTCCACTAGTGATCTGAAAATCCAGATTATTCACCTACATTAATTGATATCGGGAAATTTGAACAGAATATTACAATTCCCCTTTGCCCCGTCAACCATGCATCAGTTCATCTGCAGTATGACTGCTATGCAAAATATTTCCCAAATTACTTTTCTTTGTAAAGATTGCCAATATCAATGTTTAAAATTTGCATAATATTGATAACTTTGTTTTTCTGAATGCTCTTATTTCTTTGCTACATTAACCATAAAATTGTGGTCTTGATTTTATGCATGCAATTATCTTGAAAACACAAATTTTCCCATGATAAAATGTGTAATCGTAAAACGTTGAAACCGCTAATTTTTGTTTTAGAACTAATTTAAAAGTGTCAGGTCTACATATCACATTATTCAAATATGTTTAATATAATTTAATATAATATTCAAAATCACAAATTTGGTACTTTTTAACGACATAAGTTCCAATGTATAATTCAGTGTTTACTGTTTAATGGCTGTGTCTAGTATGGCTGAACAAAATGTCATGATCCAAAACACGTCCTTAATATTAATTAAGATAAGTCCTCATCATTACTGTTTAAAGTTTCAGTTTTACAAGTTTTATGGTGAGCTTCCCAATGTTTTAGTTGGCAGAACGTCCCACAGTATTTAGCATCTTTACACCCACTACATGACTCTGACGCCTGAGAGATAAAACAATTAACATTGAGAGATAAAACAAGGTCATCATCTTGTCAACTCTAACTAATTAGGGGGGTACTGAGAGATAAAACAAGGTCATCATCTTGTCAACCCTAATTAGGGGGGTACTGAGAGATAAAACAAGGTCGTCATCTTGTCAACCCTAATTAGGGGGTACTGAGAGATAAAACAAGGTCATCATCTTGTCAACCCTAATTAGGGGGTACTGAGAGATAAAACAAGGTCATCATCTTGTCAACCCTAATTAGGGGGTACTGAGAGATAAAACAAGGTCATCATTTTGTCAACCCTAATTAGGGGGGTACTAAGAGATAAAACAAGGTCATCATCTTGTCAACCCTAATTAGGGGGTACTGAGAGATAAAACTTGAGGTCATCATCTTGTCAACCCTAATTAGGGGGTACCGAGAGATAAAACAAGGTCATAGTTTTGTCAACCCTAATTAGGGGTACTGAGAGATAAAACAAGGTCATCATCTTGTCAACCCTAATTAGGGGGTACTGAGAGATAAAACAAGGTCATAATTTTGTCAACCCTAATTAGGGGTACTGAGAGATAAAACAAGGTCATCATCTTGTCAACCCTAATTAGGGGGTACTGAGAGATAAAATAAGGTCATCATCTTGTCAACCCTAATTAGGGGGTACTGAGAGATAAAACAAGGTCATCATCTTGTCAACCCTAATTAGGGGGTACTGAGAGATAAAACAAGGTCATCATCTTGTCAACCTTAATTAGGGGGGGGGGGGGGGGCACTGAGAGATAAAACAAGGTCATCATCTTGTCAACCCTAATTAGGGGGTACTGAGAGATAAAACAAGGTCATCATCTTGTCAACCCTAATTAGGGGAGTACTATAAGTAGTTCACTTCCCTCTCTCTTCCCCTTAGTTATAATATTAAGATACAAAATAACTCTTCCATTAATTAACCTAATGGAGGAATATAAGATCTACCTTTCGGCCACAGTTCCAACAGGATTGGTCCTTGTCGTCGGACTGTGCAGTTAAGTCCGCGCGAGCGCGCTCCACACTCTCTTCACACACCGTCTTCAAAAGGGTCTTCACTTCTGATATGATCGTTTGTGTGTGTTCTGAATCTGCAGATATAGTCTTATTCGGAACTTTACTGTTATTATTTAGCAAAACAAGTTTGGCAGTCCTCGTGATCTCAGATGATGTCAGATGACACTGGATGGAGTTAGGATGACAATTCGACACTAGCACAGCAAACCATGGCTATCATCTATGATCGAGCGACTTAGATTTGTTCAGTCACAGAGGTGGAACTTATTTAAAAGTTGAAATTCTTTTAAAATAATTTTTTAAATCATTATTTCACTATTATTTCACTATTATTTCAATATTATTTCACTATTATTTCATTATTATTTCACTACCGCTGAGACAAGAGAGTAGAGATGTCAGTATGTTCAATTCGTTAGTTAAATCTAAATCCGCAGTTTCCTCTGTAACATTATCTTCTTTCAATTTTGTTAGATCTTTCTCTAACTCGTGGCTCAAGATCTTTAAACAGGAACTGATGAGCAGAGCTCGCTTGATTGTTATTTCTGAAAAATCGTTTGAGATAAGTTCAGCTATTGCTCTCAAGACTTGTACGACCTTCAAATATCTGCCATGAGTTTATGAGCCGTGCTGTCATGATTCATATAGGTAATATGTTCATTTTATTATACATTGCAGAGATTGAAACCAAAAGCTTCAATTTGATTTGATTTCCATGCATTTTATGAATTTGGATTAAATTCAATATTCAAAATTTCTTCAAGTAAATTCTTCTAAAGAGAATTATATTTACCTAACAAGAGATTGCACTTACTATTGCTGCTAGGAGGTAAGCAGGGCTGCTTGAGTACCCTGCTTGATATGGGTGATACTGGAGCACTCCTTTTTCTGGAGCATTCTACTTTCTCACCTATCTCGTTATCTAATCCCTACAGTTGTGGTATCATCGTATACATTTGGTTATATAAGCTTTGGAAAAACTGCTAGTCCATTTATGTGATTTAGAAAGGGTAGCTACCTTTAAAAGAATTTCTATTCTAGGAAACCAGGATATATCCTATATTTTATCTATCCAATGACGTTTCTGTTCATAACCCAATAATCAAATATATAATCTACACTATATTATGTATAAATTATAACCCCAATGATCATTACCATTTCATGTTTTCTGCAGCCATGTATCTCCTCTTGCAGTAAAGGTAAAGTTGATGTGAGGAATGGCACCACAAACTGAAAGTCATTAAATCATTTGATTAAAATATGTATAAAAATATAAAAGTAAAAATAATTTTGAATTGCTGAATAAGTAATCCAATACAATAAAACCCCGATTTATCGCAAACCCTGATTTACCGCAATTGTTTTCTTTCTCCAAACTCCGCAGTAAATCGGGGTTTTACTGAACTTAGTTTAAGTAGATACACTTTACAAAAACAACAAATAATATATATATATGAATATTTCAACAATGATATTAGCAACCTGTAGTGTAACTATGGTAACTAGTAGTGTAACTATGGTAACTAGTAGTGTAACCATGGTAACTAGTAGTATAACCATGGTAACTAGTAGTGTAACTATGGTAACTAATAGTGTAACTATGGTAACTAGTAGTGTAACTATGGTAACTAGTAGTGTAACTATGGTAACTAGTAGTGTAACTATGGTAACTAGTAGTGTAACCATGGTAACTAGTAGTGTAACCATGGTAACTAGTAGTGTAACCATGGTAACTAGTAGTGTAACTATGGTAACTAGTAGTGTAACTATGGTAACTAGTAGTGTAACTATGGTAACTAGTAGTGTAACCATGGTAACTAGTAGTGTAACCATGGTAACTAGTAGTATAACCATGGTAACTAGTAGTGTAATCATGGTAACTAGTAGTGTAACTATGGTAACTAGTAGAGTAACTATGATAACTAGTAGTGTAACCATGGTAACTAGTAGTATAACCATGGTAACTAGTAGTGTAACTATGGAAAATAATAGTGTAACTATGGTAACTAGTAGTGTAACTATGGTAACTAGTAGTGTAACTATGGTAACTAGTAGTGTAACCATGGTAACTAGTAGTGTAACCATGGTAACTAGTAGTGTAACTATGGTAGCTAGTAGTGTAACTATGGTAACTAGTAGTGTAACTATGGTAACTAGTAGTGTAACTATGGTAACTAGTAGTGTAACCATGGTAACTAGTAGTGTAACTATGGTAACTAGTAGAGTAACTATGGTAACTAGTAGTGTTACTATGGTAACTAGTATAAGTAGTGTAACTATGGTAACTAGTAGTGTAACCATGGTAACTAGTAGAGTAACTATGGTAACTAGTAGTGTTACTATGGTAACTAGTAGTGTAACTATGGTAACTAGTAGTGTAACCATGGTAACTAGTAGTGTAACTATGGTAACTAGATTTTCAACCTGTTTAAGAGAAAACTGTATCTGATTCTGAACTTCGTTTTGGAAATCTTCGGGTGTGACTACATTGTTTACTAAGTTGACAATCAGAGTCTGCACACTTTCACTCACCTAAAAATAAACATTTGTCGATGAAAATCGAAGTAGAAAATTGCCTCAGTAAATCAATTTTAGGGTATACTGTGGGTACAAAATGTGTACAAAATAAACGATTAGTTTGTTGCACTTACCTGAGGACTGATATTGTTTGCAGTTTGTTGTATTGTCGTAAGCAGTCGTTTCAGTTTTGCTAGAGGTCGAGCAAGTGTAAAGTAACAGCTTACAGTTTCATCAAGAGGCCCCGGCATTTTCATACTGAATAAGGGTGGGTCAGCAATTGTTTAACATAAGCAAGTTCACCAAAATTTTTACCAAAAAATTTCCCAAGAACTGCCCCTACCTAAAATTATGAATGGGGCTAATTTTTCTGATCTATTGAGCAAAAACTTTCTACAAATTTGTACAGTACATTTTTTTATGCAATATCGAGGAGGCAATTTTTATCGGTTTTGAAAAATTCTACTCTACAGAGTAGATTTACAGAAAGTCAATAAAATAAGTACATTTTTCAAAACAATTATGTATGCCTGTGTATGTTTAAGGCTACTTAATTCAAGGAAAGGTACAAAATATGTCTAATGGGATACGCAGGCCTGAATATTATTTTGCACACACCAAGTACAGTAAAACCCAATTTACAGCAGAATTTGGGGAAAGGAAACATCTGCAATAAATTGGGGTAGGCGGTAAATCAGGATTTTTTGACCCTATTTGGGGTAAATCAGGTTTTGGGGGTAAATCAGGTTTTGGAGTAAATCAGGGTTTGGGGTAAATCAGGGTTTGGGGTAAATCGGGTTTTGGGGGTAAATCAGGTTTTGGGGTAAATCAGGGTTTGGGGTAAATCAGGGTTTGGGGTAAATCAGGGTTTGGGGTAAATCAGGGTTTGGGGTAAATCAGGGTTTGGGGTAAATCAGGGTTTGGGGTAAATCTGGGTTTGGGGTAAATCAGGTTTTGGGGTAAATCAGGGTTTGGGGTAAATCAGGTTTTGGGGGTAAATCAGGGTTTGGGGTAAATCAGGGTTTGGGGTAAATCAGGGTTTGGGGTAAATCAGGGTTTGGGGTAAATCAGGGTTTGGGGTAAATCTGGGTTTGGGGTAAATCAGGTTTTGGGGTAAATCAGGGTTTGGGGTAAATCAGGTTTTGGGGTAAATCAGGGTTTGGGGTAATTCAGGTTTTGGGGTAAATCAGGTTTTGGGGTAAATCAGGGTTTGGGGTAAATCAGGGTTTGAGGTAAATCAGGGTTTGTGGTAAATCAGGTTTTGGGGTAAATCAGGGTTTGGGGTAAATCAGGGTTTGGGGTAAATCAGGGTTTGGGGTAAATCAGGGTTTGGGGTAAATCAGGTTTTGGGGTAAATCAGGTTTTGGGGTAAATCAGGCGCGGTATACCAGGGTTTTGTTTCATTGAAAATTTGTTTCATTGCTATACCAGGGTTTACTGTATCAAGATTAACTCATATCTTAAATACTGTACCAAAGCGCTCCCGTGGTGCAGTAGCGGCAACATTTACTTGTCAATCAAGCACGTCATGTAGGTAGGTAACTTATGTGTCTACTTGTACTTATATGTTTGCATGTGTGTAAAAAATCATTAAAAAATTAATATAATATCCAAATAAATTTGAGCACTTAATGGAACTATATACTCAAACCAAGAGGTATGCTAAGACCCAGCTGATACACGAATTATGTGTGAGTTACCAATTTACAGGGTGTCCAAAAATAGTCAGGTTGTCCAAAATTATGACATCACATCATGTCTACAAAATATCATCGCACTATAATAATAATAATAAATTAATGTTATTTTTATACAGCACCAAAAGGTTAAATAATTTAAATTTAACCCTTATGCACAGCTGTAAATGACACTTAAATTAACGAGAGTGTGCATCTTTGCCTTAGACGGAGGTGGAACAAGAAACTGTTCAGAAAACAGGCGATAAAAACTGTAAAATATAACGTGACTAAATAAAGCAGATGCACCTAACAAGCAGATATCCAAGAAGGGTTAGCAGGTTTTCTAACAGAGGACTAGATGAAATTCCCTGATACAAAAATTTTATAAAAACTCTTTAAAAAATTTTTATAAAAATTTCTTTAAAAAATCCATAGAAATTCTATAGACTCCAAATATACAAACAATCTGAAGTTTCCAATATATACAATAGAAAATGATTGAAAAAGTTTACTGCAGAACAGTAACTGATGATAAAGATTATATCTGAAAATCCAATACAGTCATACTAAACAATCTGGGCAACATAAAAAGATAAAAGTAGAGACAGTGAACAAAAGAGAAGAAAAAAGATGCTCTAGTGCTTGAGACAAAATACAAAGAATAAGGTAGCTTTCTCCCGGGTGCCAACCCAAAAAATGTTGGTGTCCTAGGATAGAGCCTCCTTTTCCGACCTACACTACAATTTTGTTGGCAGACACAATGAAACGCAAAAAAAGATTATTATCTTAAAAGTTGCCCAAAAATCCTTGAAAACTAATAGCTTAAAATAATTTAATTTTAAGCGTGAAATTGACCTGCTATAAGATAAACATTTTATTTAAATTTTAACCTTCAATAAAGGATAAGTTACTCAGTACAAATCAAAGGACTTTCTAAACAGGTGAGCTTTAAGTTTTCCCTTAAAGTCCTTGATGTTTACACATTTCCTGATTTCTTGAGGAAGATTGTTCCATAATCTTGGAGCAGATGAAGAGAAGGCTCTAGGTGGACTGTTTATGGGGCAATGAAGAGACACATCTCTTCCACCACTGGAATTGTACTTTACAAGGTTTGACAGGTATGAAGGTGCTAGCCCATGGAGCAGTTTGAAAGTTAACAGGAGTATTTTAAATTCAATACGTTCTTGTACCTTGAGCCAATGAAGTTCTTTTATGTAGGGATCAACTTCTTCTCTTTTCTTTAGACCTTTGACTAAGCGGCATGCTCTGTTTTGCAGAGATTGTAGCTGTTTCAAAACAGAATGATTAGCTCCAAAGTAAAGTGCATTACAGTAGTCAAGGGAACTGATGATAAGAGATTGCACGATGATTTGCATTTGAGTTTCAGAGAGGAATGGTTTCATTTTTGCAATGTTTCGTATCTTGTGGCAGTTTGCAGCTTTGTGAAAAATATATAATAAATATTTTCCCACGAACATTAATTATTTATCAAATACAATATTTTAAAAATTTGTCAAAACATGAACATTATCCTATTTTAAAAACCTAATCAAACCTCCCAGTGGAATAAAGATTTATGATACGCTTCTCTGCCACATAAGGATGACACCAATAAGATAATCGTTATGTTCCTCTTCATTACTGACATGATATTATATACGACAAATTTATATATAAATTAAAGATGGTTGTTTGTCAAATAACCATAGTATTCCTCCCTGAAAGTAACTTGAATACTAAGTAAGTAGAGATATAGCTTAGAAAAGATTTAAAATATACTGTGAATACTAATGCAAGAATTTAATAATTCTTGAATGTTAAGTATGGTGGCCGAGGAGGGTCATTTTAAAAATAAAATAAAAAACCATACTCACGTGGCCGAGGAGGGTCATTCGGCCAGGGAGGGTCACTTTTTTAAAATGGCCCTGCTCGGCCATGGCCGAGCAGGGCCAAACAATATGACGCAAAAATGGTCCTCCTCGGCCATGGCCTAGCAGGGCCATTTTAAAAATGACCCTCTTCGGCTGAATGACCCTCCTCGGCCACGTGAGTATGGTTTTTTATTTTATTTTTTAAAAATGACCCTCCTCGGCCATGGCCGAGGAGGGCCATTTTTGCGTCATATTGTAAGGGGACCTCTATTATGTTCATAAACATAAAGAATAGAGATTCGGCGGAATGACAGGCTGAGCGCGGCCTAGTAAATTAGGCACGGCCTTCGGAGCGCGGATTTGTAAAATTGCTAAATAATTTGACAAAATTCATTAATTTGACAAAATTCATTTATTTGATAAAATTCTTTAATTTGACAAAATTCATTAATTTGCGTTTAATTATTGCGTTGTAGATTTATAACTCACTAAAACGCGCGCCAAGTTGGACTCGTCGACGGTCTTGCAACAAATATTTTCAATTTTACAAGTATCATTTGTTAAATTATTGCGTTGACCAAAGTGCAAAGGAACTGCGGCTAACTTGCATAACTGCTAGCGGCTAACTGCTGCTAGCGGCGTGCGCGACAGCAGCAGTTAGCAGCAGTCAGCAGTAGTTAGCAGCTAGCAGTTAGCAGCAATTTCTTTGCACTTTGGTCCTCTTGGGGGACTAGCCTGGCGCGCACTACTTTGTAGCACTACTTTGTAATATTACTTTGACGGATGTTACTCGTCTAAATTTCTTCGAAGTAGCGCGCGCCTCTTTCTTCTCAAAATAGCCCGATGGCAAGTGCTACGAAGTAGCGCGCGCCGGGCCTGATCATTAACAATGGTCAAAATATTACTTTGCTTTGTAGCATTACTTTGTAGCATTTACTTCGGGTTAAAATTGAAAAAAAGCGGCGCGCGCTACTTCGAAAAATTTTTGCTCTATCCAGAGCCCTCTCGCTTGCAGTAGCGCGCGACCACCGAAGGCGGCATGCAGGATTCTATTCTACTTTTGAAACAAGCGCGTCACAAAGTATTCGCGTAGACTCATGTCTAGGTGAAGAAGAAATTCAAGAAAACAACAATTTTATTTAATATCAATTAATTAAAGCAAATAAAAATATATTTTATACATGTATATAACTAGCAGTACTTTTATACCAAATATCTTATTAAGCTTAGGGGACTTGGTAGTAGGAGCTGTTACGGGGATTTTCGGCTCGATACACCAGGGTCATCAGACATGTCTTAAAAGACGTATTTTTGGCCCCTGAATCGATTGATGGTAGTGGGAAGTGTTGAAAATGGGGTTAACCTGGTTTTATTTGAAAAAAACCGATTTTTGGCCCTAAAAATGGTCATTTTTTGAGGTTTTTCAGGATTATCGATAGGTTAATTTCAAGGAAAAGCTTAGATATTTCGGTTTCTGATACATTTCAATATGCCGCATTAGCTAATATTAAGTTCATAAGCGCACATAAGAGTTAACCTGGTCAAAATTTTAAAAAACCTTCCAAAAAAATGTTTTTTTGCGCGCTAAATTTTATCGGCTCTTTATACATCCAAAATGAAATATTTTTGCCCACAAAGTGTTTTAATACTGTTCAATAATACTATTTGATAGTTTTTCAGCGTCAAAACAAGTTTTGAAAGCGGAAGAAAAAATTATATTTTTCGTGGTGCTGAGCACTTTGAAAATTTTTGAATAAAATCGAGCGCTACCGTAAAATTTTAGTAACCCTTCCCTGAAACTCATTTAAGTTTTTGTACCGTTAGTGTATTGTCCTTTTCTGAAGTTCATGCCTTCTCTGGCTTAATTTCATTTAATATTGTTTAATACAGTACAGTAAAGTGTTTTATAATAGTAGAGTGCCATTTCTAATACTTCAATGTTATATTGTTGAGATACCTTTACTTGGCTGTATACCTTTTGTTAATACAATTTCACCAATTTAGTATTGCATTGCTTATATGACTATTTGGATTTATAATTTATCGATTGTGGGTATGAATAAACTTTTGGTTCACAATCAACAATATAATGTCTACTGTGTGGTACCCTTACAAGATTAATTATAGATCTTTTGACAGGAATGCCTTACTTAAACCCCCTCATCCATCACTCATTCCGTGTTACCTGTTGGATGTGGAGGAACCCTACCACAAACTGAAATATTGTAAAGGTACCCTTCAGTACATAAATAGAGCACTGTAAATAATATAGATTAGTTACTGCTATCTTCTCAATGCAATTTTGAATACATGTCAGGAACACCTATCTTAAACCCCCTCATCCATCACTCATTCAGTGTTGCCTGTTGGATATGGAGGAAATCTACACCACAAAGTGGAATATTGTAAAGGCACTCTTCAGTACACATAAAATAGAGCACTGTAAATAATATGGATTAGTTGCTGCTATCTTCTTAACATGATTTTGAATTTATAAATAGTAGTAGTGTCAGGGGCCTTTTATATATTATATTTGAGTATAATACATTTTACCTTATAATTAACCATCACTCCCGTCTAGGAAGTACTATGTATTTGTGTATGTAATTGAGATCGTATCAGCGCCTTTCATTCTACTCAACGCGTTTCATTCTACTCTAAACAAGCTTGACATATATGATCAATGAAACGCGTTGAGTAGAATGAAAGGCGCTGATACGATCTCAATTACATACACAAATACATAGTACTTCCTAGACGGGAGTGATGGTTGATTATAAGGTAAAATGTATTATACTCAAATATAATATATAAAAGGCCCCTGACATCAGAGTAAATGTCAGGAATGCCTGACTTAAACCCCCTCATCCATCACTTATTTCGAATAAATGTATAGATGCTGCATTGACTTCATGAAGATATCATTCGTTTTGAGCAATCATTCCCTTAGCTCCCCCGTTCTTTGATTGTTTCAAAGAAGTAGTCAAACTACAATATGTATTTAATTGTTTAGTTACATCTATTGCTTGTTATTTAAGCCATTTCATCTCTAGTAGATTCAAATAATTTCTGTAATTCTGAATTATGTTGCTGAACAAACTTGACAATCACCATTAGAAAGAAGGTGACATGTTTATGGACCCAGAACTAGCTAAGACAGTTCTCTGTGTACATTCGGATCACTTTAAGAATCTTGTGGTTTGTTAAAAGACTTCGATCCGCTCACAGCCATGCAGATTAAGACGAATTTAGATCAAAATTATTTTGATAACAATGAAAACTCAAATGGTTTGATTTTTAGCTAAATTACCATAATTATTATAATTAATTAAATACAGGCTGACAATGTTTCATTTCACAAACTGTATCTGAATAATGTAATTTTAACTGAATCTTAAGCTGTTCAAACAGCTTTGTTAGTTGATGTTATCGATGCTGTATAAGTTGAAACCTTTGATGATGAGAGGTACATGAACAAACCTACACTAAACAATACTACATTCCAGCTTGGAACGAAATGAGTGGAGTTGAACGACGCCCTGTTTATCAAAACTACATCAATCAACTTTTCAACTATGCAGGTTATTAATGAAATAGGTACTACTATTTTTTCGGAACTAAGTCCGATCTACGCCAGATAACCCCCTCCATATATCCCTGTCCCGCATCAGGGTTTACAGTTCCTCTTTTGAGTTTGTCCCAATTTCCTTCAGTAACATAGACAAGTAGCTTTGTCTTGGTCGGCCTTGCTGTGCTCTACCATGCATAGGTTTCCATAAGACTAAATCACTGGCAAGTAGATCAGGATGTCTGATGCAGTGTCCCGCCATTTTTAGTCTCCTGCTTCGTAACTTGTTTGACAGCCTTGGTAGACTACCATACAAAGTTATATTGCTGACCTTGTCCTTCCATGAGATACCCAGCACCATACGTAGCATCTTTGTGTATGTCCCGTCCAATACAAATGAAATAAATTATTTTTATCCCGCTTATATCAACAATCAAAATTAAAAACTTATGGATGTATATCACTCATTATTATGTATCACTCTCTAACATCTTGTCCTCACTACAAATATTACCACTTCTGATATAATAATGTTTTTTTGTGTCTTCTTTGGCTCAGGCATGGCTCCAGCTCAAAAACTTTGGGTGGGTGCAGCTTGGCGCACGGCGGGGGGAAGCCCCCTGGAAAATTTTGGAATTTTACTCTCCTAAACGTATTTTAATATCTCCAAAACAGTCTCAATTGATAACAGAAGTCAATTGACCCTTAGTTTATACAATTTTTGTGTGAACATTTTCGAATCGTTTGGGTGGGTGCAACATCCTTTGGGTGGGTGCGCACCCACCCGAACCTACACGGTGGAGCCATGCCTGCTTTGGCTATCTGTTTCATTTCCAAGACCAACCGCTGATGGATAGCTCGATCTTCAGGTGATCGATCTGGAGAGATGAAAACAGTCTTATGATCTTCACACAGTCTAAGCTTTTTGGCATTTACTAATATCTCATGAACGGTAAGTTAGAAT